TGTTAGCATGGATTTCTAACATTGTCTGTGTCCTGCAGACTGTTCTTAGGCTATGGATCATTCCATGTTCTGGGCTCTGATTGGACAGAACGACGACGGTCCAAAAGAGGAAATCATTCTGAATAATATCGTAAACTTAAAGCTTTTTCTGTTCTGTCCGTTGCTCCAGTGCAGGTGACACAAAAGGCCGTCAGTGACAGAACAGGATTATTTCACTCCTCTTTTGAGAGATTAACGTGAAGATAACGATACATTTTCTATGAGAATTTGCTAAAACATGCAGCGCTGCAATGGAGAAATGACTAGTTAGAACGTATTTCTAACATTGTTGGGCGCTAAAGTAGATTATTCCATGTTAGACACTCTACACAACAAACTTCAAGAGAGGAACTCATTCTGAATGAAAACCCAAAGTCCTAAAGTGTTCTGTCCTGTATGATGCAAACACACAGGCGTTAATAAGTGTTTTATTGAAATAAATATCACATGTGTTGACAGGAGAGGACAGCTTCACTTGTCTTAGATAAGATCTCTCACCTAAAGGCAACATAATGATGCATTTTCCAAGAGAATTTGATAAACGTGCAACGTTACAATGGAAAAAGTGTTTTATTATTGGGGCTTTGTTTTCTATATTGGACCTGTCGATGTCCTGCAGCCCGGACAGAACAACAAGGTCTGAGAGACTGTATGAAACACTTCTAAATAAAATCCCAAACATAAAGTTTTTCTGTCCTGTGCGATGCTAACGTGCAGGTAACAGCTAAATAAGAGAGCCACCAGTGACAGAACAGGGTTGTTTCACTGCTCTGTTAAGAGAACATTATGGTGCATTTCCCAAGAGAATTTGCTAAACATTGAAAAAAAAGAAACAATTCTTAATTATTTAGCATTTGTTTTTAACTCTGTACTTAATTAAATAACTTGTCTCGAGCTATGAAGCAGCTTATTCGTGTTTTTGCTTGTAATTGGACAAATTTCAAAGAGGGGATATAAAAAATCCCAAACTCCTTTGCCTTCTTTGTGTCTTGTATGTTGCAAAGGTGCAGGTGGCCGTACATGTCATGTTACTGGAGAAGGACTGGGTTGTTTTACTTAAATCTCTTACTCTTAAGATGGGATCTTTAAGTATACAGAAGCATAACGGGGGCTCAACATGCAGCACTGCATTGGAAAAAAGTTACAATTTAAAAGGTTTGAGATTTATTTTCTGCATTGGAGAATTGATTTCTAGCGTTGTTCATGTCCTGCAGACTGGTCCGAGGCCGTGGAGCAGATTATTCCATGTTAGTTAGGGCATGAAGTGATTGTGAATAAACTCCTAAACCTTCAGCGTCTTGACGGTAAAACAAGCAGCACATGAACAGGACAGGCTTGTTTCTCTTGTCTTCAATAAGATCTCTCACCTAAACTGAAGATAAAGACCCGTGTTCTGTGAGAATTTGCTGAGCGCGCAAAGCTGCATTGGAAAATGTTGCATTTTTATTTTTCCGGGATTTATCTTGACTCGTAATTAAATGACTCGTAAGAATAGAACACATTTGCATAACAAGAGTCGGGAGCTGAGATTGGGCTCTTATGTTGTTGGAACACTTTTGCCTTATTGATTCCAAGGTTTTTGCTACTTATCCTTATTTCTTTCCTCCACAAACTCAAATGAGCAGTCCTTTTATTTTTTAATTAACCGCCGAATTACATCTCTTGTCTTTTTTTTTTTAACGTCGGAACGGTCGCGGGGAGACTCTGGGAGCATATCTGAGCGGGGGAAATCTACGTCTTTGAAGATGTATAGAAAGCAGAGATACCCGTTAAAAGCTGGATGGAAGAACAAACCGTGATTCAGCGGAGCGCATCCTCTGCTTTACAAGCTCGCTGTGCCACATCACAACCGCTGCGTTTCGCTGTGTGTTCTGCAGTCGAGGGCGTAAACACCGGAGATAAAGCAGTCGTAAAAGGGCGGATGCATTACGGAGCATTGTGAGGGTGTTGTAACTGTCTACTCGAGAAATATTTATGAGGGAGGATCTGAAAAGGGAAACTGTACATTGGAAGTCTCGCTCCATCTCATTTACTCGGTGCATTTCTAGGAACATGCTGCCATCATAATTAAAATATTATCGTGAGTTGGAGCTGCTGTTCTGTGGGTTGAAAGTCAGCTGAGATATTTCAAATTCAAAACCTTATCCAACTTTTTTTTTTTTTTTTTAAACAAAGACTGTTCTGCTTCCTGCCCTTCCCCCCCAAACCCCCCCTGAGCAGGTCTCTTGTTGTTGGTTGTTGTTGAACATTATGCACTGTGCAATCTGTTGTTCTGTAAAATGAGACAGCTATATCTGCTATGTTACATTTCAGTGGAGAACATTTCATGAAGCCTCACCGCGCATTTCGGACGAGCTGCCAATTTAATCCGAGCG